ATCTAATTTTAAGTAATAATTTTTCTAAAAGGCTTTTATTCAGAAGGAAAAATGAGAGAATGAGAGAGAGAGAGAGAGAGAGAGAGAGGGGGGGGGGGGGAGTGTTTTTCTTAGATTTCTAAAACAGAGCTCTTTAACTTTGAGGACCTAAAGCAAAGATATTTTATAAAAGGCTAACTAGTATTCATGGATCTCTACCAAACACTGGATCGCAAATCATCATTCCAGAAAGGGGCCAAACGTTGGGTTCCACAGGCTAGAAACAGGGAAACTCCCGGAACACAGGATGAAGTTTATTTCAATTATGCCGCAGAAAAACTGAGTAGGAAACTTCCTTTCTGAATGACTTGCACACTTAAACACGGACTTACCAGGGCACTGGCTCCTGGGGAAGTAGGGCTCTTGATATTCTCCTCCTCGGGATTCTGGGGGTCTTCATCAGGTCCCCGAGTAACAAGAATTCGGAAATGCTGCTGCCCTGCGTTTTGATCTTGCCTGATCTTAAATGTGCACCCTTGACCCTGTGGAGTCCTCTCCATGGAATTCGTCCTACGAATCTCTGGAGCCATCCTGCCAGCCCGAGGTGGCGCCTCTGGGGCTCCTCGGTCTTCTGTAGGGCTCCCCCGCCCTGCTCGGGGCTGGGTAGGATAAGAAGTGCTCCTCTCTAGCCGAATACGGGGATACCTCACCAACCTGTCGCCCTTTGTGCCGGTGAAGCCAAAATTGAAGTCCCCGCCCAGTCCTGGAGCACCTGGTTGGGGCTGCTGCAACTGGAAGACAAAGCACCGTTTCCCAGAGCTTCCAGAAGCATCTGGAACATGCTGCAAGGACCAACGCCTGGGTTCAGGCGCAGCCGGGCCTGACTGGCCGTCGGGGCCCAAAGGCAGCAGCCGCACCTGGCGCACATCTGCACTGGAGGCTCGGTGCTGGATGCGAAGGCCAGGGGTGGCCTCCTCGGTGCTGTTGGCTGGACCAGGGCATCGCACGCGGCGGCCACATGTGCCATTGACCTGGGGCCCCGGGTCTCGGGCTGCCCTTGGAGGGGAGCTCCCGGGGGTGTCCCCTGGTGAGGGGTCCTGAGAGCTGCTCTGAGACGAGGCTCTTGTGGCCAAGGCGGTGGTAACCTGGTCCCCGAAGTCGGAGGCAGTGCTCGGGGGTCGGTCATCAGGGCCTTCCGGTGGCCCGCACCCGTCGGTGGCACCATCAGCGGCCTTGCGCTGCAGGGAGATCTGCACCGATGAGCTGCGGGTGGGGCGGGCGTCAATGCCCGTGAGCAGCTGCGGGATGAACATGGACGTGCTGCGCTTGAGTGCGCCCACGCCTTCTTGTAGGCCACTGCCACTGTCCTCCTGTCCGTTCTGGGCGAAAGGGTGCGGGCCGCTCCTCCGCGGGAGGGTGTGGAATGCCATGAAAAAGTCGTCTTCTCTCTCCTGGTCTAGGATCTCTGACTCGGGGGCTGTGTTGCTGCGACTAGAGCCAAAATGAAACCGCAGCCGATGGGCCATGGTGACCAGGGGGGCTGGGAGGGAGAGGGCGAGCGGCAACAACAAGCCCAGCACTGCCAGAAGTCAAAAACCAACGACACCAACTCCAAGAAAAAGTGTCCCATCTGCCAAACTGTTAGCACTGCCGCACCAAGAGCGACAGATAGCAGAAATAGCCCAAGTGGCAAGCGGCATTCCAGGCATGATTGGATAAGAGCAAAAAGCTCTCATCTACACTGTGACAGAGGGTAGGATGGCCAGAACCACATGACCGTGCTCTCCCCCTCCAATGCCAGCTTGTGGACTCTGTGCAGTTTCCCCCCTCTCCCTCTATTTTTTTTTTTTTTTTTTTTTAAACAGCAAGAGCCTGAAACAGCACCTTCCCAGCTGCTGCTGTCCCGTCAGAAAGCAGCGGCCCAGCGGGGAGCTGCGCAGCTTACTGAGGCAGCAAACACACCTCGAGCTGTGCTGCTGTAAATCTGCCTGCATCACATTCATGGGACATTTCTTTCCCAACTACTCAGAGCCCTGGGACTCTCTAACCGGTGCCAGGGATCCAGCACTAAACACAAGCACACACTGGTATGTCCCCACCTCCCCACCACAGCAAATAATGACAAGTACAGCTTAGCTGCATGGGGAGGGGGTAGTTCACAAGCATCAGAGGTTATGTTTCTGTTATTTATGATATCACTACACTACCATGACGGAATGCAAACTAATAAAAGGTACTATAAATACGATTACACACCCCACAGAATTAGTGTCCCTTTAGTGGGAAATAATTAGACCATGATCTACAAGTAACAAAATAGCTTCGTGGGGCACAATTTACTACACAGCCAGCTGTGCATCTGGGCTGCCTCTTGCTACTATGAACATTTTTCATTTAAAAGGGGCACATGTGCCTCTCACATGTAATAGGATCCACACATACAGAAGTACCAGACAAAAAGAACTCAGCTGAAGAAAATATTCTCTTATATGCCAGATAGGTGAACCCCTTCACACCCATACAGAAAACATCAGGGAAAATTGAAGGCAGATATGCATGTGGTTTTCTATAGTAATTTAACTTAAAATACCATACAGAAAAAAATGCTGCTTGGAGCCGACTCTTTTCCAGTAGGAAGTCAGCAATATTACCCCAGTTGGGATTCAAACATGGAATCTTGCTATCTGCAGTAAGCCAAAAAGGACCTAAGAAATAAAAGGGCACATTCAAAAAACTGTCATCGGGTTTGTTGTTAGTCTGGGTAGTCTTGTAGTTATTCTGTGTTTCAAACTTAGTATTTTCTATGATCCAGAAACATTAGAGGTTTATTTAGGAGGGGGTTAAAAAATTAAGAAGGGGAAAATACCAAACTGCAATGAATGACAAAAAGTTTATTTTAAAATCTGCAAAGCATAGCTTTGTCAACAGTTCTAGAGTCAAGGGTGTGGAGGATTAACCCTGCATTTACACACATCTAAACCCGTTTTCTAAAAGCATGAGTTTTAAATGCCAAAAAATCATCTCTCTGAGGGAATGGAAGCTAGCTTGTTTAATGCTAGAATTTCCAAGTACTACTGAGTCACACATTATCTTCCCTGGATTAATAGCCAACAAAGAAAAAAGCCACCACCACCAACCAGCATTCTTTGCATAGTAACAACACTGCAGACAGCCTGGGGCAAAGCTAAGTATTAATATTATAAAACACGTTTGTGCAGATCAAGTTTGTATTCACACCAGATTTCTTAAAAGCTTTGCATTCAAAGCCTTTTTTGGTTTAAAAGTATAGTTTCTGATCCGTGGCAAGGTCATCTCAACTACAGTCATTATTTTAGATCATGGAAATGGAAAACTTTTTTAAACAGTAAATTTCTCTCAGAAGAATATTCAATGATAAATTAAAACACATCAAACAAGAAGCATTTTTTTTCTTTAAATTTGACCCTTTCTCGATATTAAGAGTTATTTTACTCAATAAAACAGAGAATAAGGATTAGTGTGTGGAGGCCTCTGTGTCTACAGTGAGTCATGCTATATGACACTAAATACTGCCCCATCCCTACAGTCCTGGCTGGATGAAAGGTGGACAGGCAAGAACTGCACCCTCAGCAGAACCTTCACACAAATAACAAAAGGGATTTAGTCACTTGATGCTACCAATTATCACCCCAAGGCACAAAACATCCAGGGAAATGTAAAGCCCCCCCAGGTCTCATATTTTTAATAGGAAAAATACTAGGATGGTAGAATGGAATTTCTTAGTTTTCTATTTTGGAGAATACTACCAAGCATATTGGATTAAATAACACTCCCTAATTCTACACCAAAGGGCAAAAATTCTGGCTATTCCTCAGCACCAGGTTGAGGCAGAGGAGAAAGGGGGTTGAACCCTGGCATGTCCCCTGACTTATATGCTTAATTCTATAAAGGTTCTAGACCAGTGACCTCTTATCTATCAGGACAAGGAGTCGCATAATGTGTTTTTAAGGCTCCTCCTGATGATACTTTATTAACATGAAGATCTTCTCAATTTTGGAGTTTCAGTTGAATTCTGCAGAAACAAGGGTTTATAAGAACATTTCTTTTAACTAGTGAATGTGCATAAGTTTCAGAGAAGGTAAATTTGAGTATAACTGAGTTTTAATAACACTTCTGAAGTACCGTAAAGCCTACACATAACACAATAGTGTTTGGTGTCACAGTGGGAACACAGTTATGGGTACTTGATTCTAATTAGCTAAGAAAGCAAAATGCTTTAAGATTTGTTAAATCTTAAAGCATCAGATTTGTTTTAAAGCAATTTTGAAAATAAAATCTTAGTTATAGCCCATCTCTCTTATATCAACCTGCATACAAAATGCAAGTTTGTATCAGTTATATGCCTCAGGTGTGTAAATACTCTTTTATTGTTTTTTTTTTTGGGGGGGGGGGGGGTGGAAATGGAATCCAGGAGCCTGTGCAAGTTAGTCAAGCACTCTATCACTGAGCTGCACTCAGCCCTTATTTTTGATCTTTTAAAGGTACTTTCTAAGGATTTCTGAGAAAGTACAACTTTTAAAACAGTTTAATTATTACTAAGTATAGATTTACTTTCTCCTATATAGTTAACCTGATTTTTATTTCCTCAGAGAATCACCATAGATAAGCTACTGAATGCATCACAGTGATTACATTGAAAATTCCCACAAAGTTTGCTTACATGCCCGATGGCCTCTTTACAAATTTGCCTACCATTCTGTATGCCCCAAACCAAAACACAGGCATTTAGGCTGAGCCTATCATCAGTGATTTGCATTAATAATAACTGCAATAAAAATATACATATATTCAAGTAAATTTTCTGTCCTAGCAACACACAAATGTTTGTTGAAATTAAAAACATTAAGAGTAGGACAAAAATAGTCTTCTCTTTCGGCATGAAAACTGTTGGAAGTACAACCAAAAGACAGTTTGGAAGATGCTACTCTAAAAATTCAGTGTTTAAGAAATGAAGCAAAATTCAATAATGAGGAATCACTCACCAATCTGTTTTCGTCAAATACTTCAAACAGGAGCCTGTGATTAGAAGGGTTTACCTACAAGGAATACAAACAGTACTTCAGATATAAGCAGAAATCACTGGAAGGATGAAATAAGGGACAGCAAGAATAGGATAAAGCTTTAGAATGCATCCAACTGAAATGTATTAACAAACAAGGAACCTACTTTTCTGGAAATTCTGTCTGCTAAATAAAATTTTGTGGTATTGATTTTTCTATATAATATCAGAAAAAGGCAAAGGTCCTTAGCTATTTTTTTTTTTTTAGAATAAGAAAGTATAATTCTGAACTTTAAAGAGTTCCTAATCTGCTGGACAAAAGCTTCCCATGCCAATAGATAAAGTCCCTGCCTGAGGGGACCTCTTAGACCTGGTGGTGGTGGTGATGATGATTAAAATAATGAAGAAAACAGTAAGAGCAGTTATTTACCATTGTGGGCTTAGTTTTTAAGTACCATCTCCTTGTTAAGTATCAACTATACCTAGTCTCATTCAATCTTCACAGCAATCCTATGACATGTAACTATCACCTTTATTTCATGCATGAGAAGCTGAGATCATGCAGGTGAAGTAACTTGCCCAAGAGCCCAGAGAGAGCATATGAGGCAACCAGGATTTGGAACCAGGTCTGGCCTGCTGTTGTTCAGGGCCTGGGCTGTGAACCATCAGCGACAATCAGAAAGAAAATGCCCCTGCTTCCAGCAAGCGGGGGCCAATGTCAGAGCTACTAGGCTTTTAATGATATTTTTTGCCTTTGTTTTTACCGAAACCTAACCAAAACAGCCCATGTATCATCATTCAGATTCAGGTATCATTTACTAACTACCAAGTGGTGAGAAATGGTGCCAGGAGTTCTCGTTTGTATTATCACATGTCAGGGGAACATTCTACCCATAAGGACTTCTCTCTCCTATGTGAGGAACAAGGCCCCAGGGAGAGTGAGAATGCTTAGTGGCTTTTCCAGGGTCAGAAAAGCTGTAAACAATAAAGCCAGAGATATAATCCAGGTCTACTGTTAGGAGGCCTTGGCTGCTTCCTGACAGAGAATGGAATGAAATTACATTTGACCACATAAGCACAGTGAGCTCCACTTGTGTTTTTGGCCCGATGGTTGGCCCATAGCCTCCATGACAGAGCAAACAAATGGCTGGTGGGTTTGCATCTGCTCAGAAGCTTTGGGAAGCAAAGTGCTAGTTACCAGTGAATGAATTCACAGGCCATAGCAAGAGCTGGGTACATAGGTGGCAACAAAGATTTGCAGAGGGACTAAAAACAAAGATTTTGAAAGCAAATAAGCAAAAACACTTAAATGAATTTATAGCCAAGAATCACTGAAAAAAGTTTCGGATGTACTATCACTCACATAAATATGATTTAAATATAAGAAGTATGAATATTTGGAGTTTCACAAGAAGGAAGCTGTATTTGAGAGTTAACTAAGGGCAAATAACACCTCATAGTCCCCAATAGCTGTTCAGTACTTCGCAGAGTAATTTAAAATACATCTGGTGGAGGCTGAACACAGGATCTACCAAGTATTAAAATATCAGTGCCATATTTCAGCTCTGAACATAACAGAAAACAGATGCAGGATACAGTAATCCAAGTTTGGAGTACAGAAAATCCTACCTCAACTGAAAGAAAGAAAGCAGGACAATTATGTGGGTCTAATGGCAATATAGTTCTTTGAGAATCTGCATTAATTAGAAGATCTAATCTGGTGTATTTTTGCAAGTGAGCATCTATTAATACCATAGATATATAGATATTTTTAAAACTTTCATTTTAAGGAGAAAAATACTTTCTTTTAAGTAAATAGCTGAGCAGTTTAATATTTCCAAAATTTTGGCAACAAAAAAACCCAGCGACAACCAGGAAAGCTCACTAAGCAGAAATCTCAGTTAATACAGAAATCAGTAATTTCTACATATAGCTGTTCTAGATATTAAATAGAAAAGATTGGGAAAATTTTACCTTATTTTGTGGCATATAAATTCCAGAAGTAATTTTACAGTACTCACGTAAATACATATACTAAATATCTGAATCACAGAAAATTTCCTTCCTAACTTTAGGAATGTAATTTAAAAAAAAAAGTTAATTTGAGGTGTTGGGGATTAAACCCAGAGCCTTCATGTATGTTAGGCAAATGCTCTAGCACTGAGCTATAGTAAAAGCCCCATAATTGGCATTGTTTAGTGCTTCTATGTTTCTACTCCTGTTTAACTATAAAATATTTCATAATCCATGTCACATAGGAATAAACCATTGTTTAAAATTACATTTGATCTTACTTTTTAAAGAAAAGTTTATAGAGTTGCAATGATAAAATATGGCATTTGGATAACTTTTTTTTATTTCCCCAAACATCTTCGGATGAAACAGTGCAGATTTTGTGACCACTATTCACTCTCTTGCAAAATTTAAGACATTAGGTGGTTACTCAAACATTTCTCATATTAAAAGGAATTTCTCATTAAAAATATAACAGTTTTCCCTCAATATTTATTATGATGTATCAATCTAGGTATCAATAACAAGTTAGTACCAAAAAAAGAAACTTACTCTAAAATAAAATTCTTCATTCCACTTTGGGTTCAGCGTCTGGAAGAGAAATGATTTTTTTTAATACATTTTACAGTCTTGGAAACTAACAGTTAACTAGCACAATACAGGCTTCATATTTGTCTAAATATTTTTCTTAATAAATATTTTTAAATGGCAATAAAAACAAAATTTAGTCAATTACTTGAGACTATTCTACAAACTAAAATAGGAGGGAGTATACCTATGAAACCAATGATTCATAGATATGAAACCATATTGCATGCTATCACCACGAGGAACAGTACCAGGGACTCAAAAGAGCCATTAGCATGAAAATATAAAATTTCCTTTCAAGAAATTAGCATTAATATAATTATTCTATCAAGAAGGAAATGAACTTTATTGACACCCCTCCTAAAAAGCTATTTTGGAGAGCAATAAAACAGGTTGGGGAAGTCTGAATTCTTTACATATAAATTTAACATCAGAACAATATTTTATAAAGAATATCAATGATGATCAGACTTTATAATACACAAACTGCTGGTTATAATGAAAAGGATGCTCCCCCCAAAAACAAATAACCAGGTTAAAAATATTTACCTACTTACCCTTCTGTCTTCCTCCCTCCCTCCCTCCCTCCTACCTTCTAGTTATCTCTTTATGTGCATATCTCACAAAAGCATGACAAAGATACTTTTGCCCTTGGTATGAATGAGACAGACTGCCCAGCATCCTAAGATAAAGCACCTTCTATGAAGGAACACACACCTATGTGCATGTGTGGTTTGCACAGGTTTAATATTCATGAGCATATCTCAAAAATTATGAGTAGGGGGAGGAGGAGGGAAGGGAAGAGGATGTACCTGAGACTGAAATGGAGCAAATTAAATTCTATGAATGTATGATTATGTCAAAATGAATCAAATTATTAATGTATAACTATAAAATAAAAACATTTTTTAAAAATTATAATTTGAAACCGAAATTTCACTACCTCATCCTCAGCTACAGATATTTTTAAAATAATATTTGCCTTCATCCACCTATTTCCTTTAACAGAAGCAAAAATAAAATAGTACAGTGCACCATAAAAATACAAAACTCTAAACTGGCGTAAAAAAAAAAAAAAAATCAGCATTTTTTTCCTCCATCTGCAACTCCACAGTCAACCCAATTCTAAATAATAGGGATCCATACTTTTGGATTTGAATGGAGCAGGGGTGGCTGTGGGCTAGGGAGGGAGCGGCGGCGGCTGGGCCCAGGGCGCAGTGTCCAGGAGGGAGCTCCGCGGAAGCGCACGGGTGGGCAGGCATGGAAGCAAACAAGCCAAGAGCATGAAAGGAATGAGAACCAGTCACAGGGCCACCAGGAAACCGAGGAGACCAACGACAAGGGCAGTTTTTCCGCTCAGGCACGGCACGACGCACAGGCATACTAACCAGGCTGCTGGGATCGGAGCTGCACCCTCCACCGTGCACAAGGAGGGGGAGGACCTCCCGGGGACAGGAAACATTGCAGTGTCTCCAGCCGCCGCCCTGGGTCCTTGGCTCTGCGTCCAGCAGGTGACCAGGGCCCCTGCTGCCTTCCCTGAAAGGTGCCCCTGCTCACTGCTGAAGAACAAGTGATAGCACCTAACACAGGGAACAATGGCCTCCGTCCTTCGCAGGCATCCTCCCACTAATCAAAATACCGGCTTCTGTTTGCAAAACAGATTTTAATGCCGGTCTCAATGCCAGGTCAAGGGCACCCTGCATTACTGTTCCCTGCACAGAAAGACCTGGCTGTAGATCCACGGCTCGAGAGTTACAGTATTTTTAAAGCACAATGCTGCCCAAGAAGTGTGTGGAATCAAGAGTTAAACATCTGACCACCCCCGCAAGGCAGTGAGGAAACAGTAATAGTAACCTACAACTAAATCTAAAACGGAGCAAACTCATTTTTGACAGAAAACGTTCATCTTCCATAAAGCCCTCAAATATGAGGTAAATATTTGCATATGTTTTACATATGCATCCAAAAATATGGGGGCAGGCAATTTTAACTATGGAAACAAATGTGTGACGACTACACAGAAAAATAAAACTTGTACACATATATGAATAAAACAACATGTATATTTTAAAGTTTTCAAGTAGTGAAGCAAGTATTTTGCTTTCTTTGATAATAGTTGTTTCAGGCTAAACCATTCCTTTTGTGCCAGTTACATAAATAATTCCATTTCATTAAGCATATTCTTGGCAAGAAAAAAAAATTACCAATTGTAATGACTTGTTTTCAGAATGTTGTTTCTGCAGACATTGAACTAAAAATCAAAATTGGTATCTTGGGTTAATAAAGAAAAGTTTTTGTCTATGCAGAATTTAAATTTAATACTGGTAGATGCTTAAAAATAAAAACAGTGCCATCTTAACCTTAAAATATAAATTTGACAACATTCAAAATACATAATTCCATTGGGTTAAATTATGACTTAAATGAATTTTTAAAAAGGATGGGCAACCTACCTTTTTAATTGTTTTTGTCTGCACCAAGGCAAGTTCTCTATTCTCATCTGCTACGTACAATGAAAGTTTCACATATGGATCACTGCAAGAAAATATTTCAGATTTAATAGGATTATACTTTTCATTTTAAAAAAGTAGTCAAACTGAATGAAAATGTAAAGATCATTTAATGTTCCAGTTTGTATTAATTTAATAAACTAAGCGACAACATTTTAACATACCTATAATATGCTCAATAAAGTTTTTTTTTAATCAACCAGAGCCAATCATATTTATTTCACAGACAAAAAGAAATTGACATTCTAACTTTAAAGATGATCTTCCCTACAATGAATTAAAATTAACTTACCTGTCATTTTTTTCTAGACACATTCTGAAAAGATTATAAAAAGATTTTCTAAGAGGTATACAAAATGTGTTCACAATAGTAAAATCTAGCTAGAAAATTCAGTTTTTATCTTATTCATCTTCTTACTTTTCCCTGTGGGAAGTTTTTCTTTTAGTGAAGGCAAATTCAATAGGTATTCATTTAAATAAGACTTTCCATTTTATAGGTAACACAAAACAGAAACCTAAAACTAAAGCAAAAGGTCAAGAGATTACCCAAAATTAGATTTGAGAAAAGTCTACATTAAAATTCAGGTTGCCTGACTACAAGTCCCAGAATTCTTTGTACAGATCACAAAAATTCTTTCCCTGAGAAGTTGAAATCTTCTAGCAAGATGTGTACTGGAAGAATTTATAGAAGAATGTGGACTATCTACTAAGAGTCTAAGTGTATTAATACTCCCTAATATTGCTAACTCAGGGATAGCTCAGATGTAGTCACTTAAAAAAATGAGGTCCTTCTGGAAAATCATGAAAAGGACTCCTATATACTCATTTCCCCAATTTTAGTCATCTAATTATAATTAGATAGTTAGGGGTACAGCTCAGTGATACAGCATTTACTCTAGAGCATTCATGAGGCCCTGGATTCAATTCCCAGTAACACACACACACACACACACACACACACACACACACACAAAATCAAACAATTATCTGTAACTGGCAATTCTTTCAACCCATCATGTTAGCTTCATACCAATTTGGGAGTTATCCTTTAGAGCTATACCATAACAATTAACCTTTATTTTGCAACTTCCAGAATGTTTCCGAAAATTACATAGAGTACTCTAAAATACTAAGACTATATTAATTTGTATTTGCTATCAGAAATAAATATGCCATAAAATCTTTTATAAATATTGATAATACTAAGATTATAATCAATATACAAAAATAAAGATCACAGCACAGTGGAAAATAGTGCTACTACATGAATAGAGATATTAGTCAATCTTGCCTTTGGTCCATAAATTATAAACCTTGATTTGGTTAAAGAACATGTAACCAGAGGCACTCACTGATCCTCATCTGGACATTTAGAGTCAGGAAAAAAACAAGCCAAGTACAGACCTAATCTAGGTCCCAGGCCCTAGCAGCTTCCTCATGGGGACCAGTGGTCTGAGGTGAGAGAAAAAGTTACTGTCTAGGTGAATGATGCTCAGGTGTCAACACATCACAACCTGGTGGTTAAAATACAGACTTGGGACCCATGCCCAAATTTTAGTTCAGTTGGTTTGTGGTAGGACCCCAGAATTTGCATATCCAGCAAGTTCCCAGCAATGCTGAGGCACCTGGTCTAGCAACCACACTTGGAGAATCACTGTTCTGTGTGGCATTTGGAAAGAGTATTTTGTCACTACAGAAACAAAATTTTCTATTTCTAGCCACCAAATTACTGCTAAAAACACCTCAAAGCTTGATTATTTCCATTACCTCAAGAACAGGCTTCCAGGGCACTGAATGGGCACACTTATGCACACAGAAACACACAATCTTGCATTACAGGGACTACCACTCACTGCTGTCCTGTCTAGTTTTTATGTCCCTCAGCTTTCATGATTGCTGGCTACTATATAACTGCAATAAAAAGCTAAGCCTTCACTTATCCACATTCTTCTACTAGTCACTTATTTACCTCAGTTTTTATTCCCTGAATAGCTGACAGTAAGTGACACATGCAGTTGGGGGTTGTGGGGAGGGTCTTTGAGTGTGGGACAATGTCTTCTAGCTGTAGTGAGGAAGACAGAGCTGAGCACATCGTGTCTCCAGTGCTCATCCAGGAAGGCACTAGTGTGTGAAAACCCTGTCAAAGATCAACCAGAAACTCCGGGAAGGGAATTCAGCCTGGCAAGGGAACCGCAGGCCACGGTGCTAACTCAAGGTCAGTAGGGTGTGAGCTCCAAGGGAAGGGAAAACAGTGAGTAGTTGGGACCACCCTCAGGAAACAGAAAGGGGACAAGCTAGGACTTAACCACTTTTGACTTCACACTATTTATGAATGAGATGGGAAGGACAATTCCTAATTCACAGGGTTATCACAAGAATCAAAGAAAATAATGTACAATCACTACCCAGCACAGCTCCAACATACAGCTGCAGATGCTCCATCAATGCCAGCCATTATACTTGGTATTCTCTTCTTTCCTCTCTCAGGATATTTGAGATTCTTTGCTTTTTTTCTCTTTACTCCCTACTTCTGTTGCAATTACTATTGACTTCACACGATTTACTACATAGTACAAGCTGGGAGCCAGCCAACCACAGCTCCCTAAGTATTTCATGCTTCCTTCTAATTCAGACCATGTGTGAGCACCTAGGGGATCAGGGTGGGGATGTCCAAAGTCACTCCTGCACCTGGTCGCTGTCCTGGGACTGGTATTCAGTACAGCTCAGGCTAGAGTTAATATGACTCTTTGGAGGGGGTGAAGCTAAATGCTTTGCAGGACTTTGGATGGGAGGAGAAATTCTGTTCTGCAAAATTTTAAACATTGCATTGTTCCTTCCAACCTCTCCAAGGAGAGGGCAAACTGGTACTAGCATTCAAACCACCTCCTATTTACTGAGTGCCTATTACATGCAGGTGAAGGGATAAGCACCCAAAATAGACAGAAGACACTGTCCTTGCCACATCTGAATGGAACCCAGAGAAACAAAATGACAACTGTGACACAGTGTGCCAAGAGCCCAGGAACATAAGTTAGTAGAGCAATCCCTCAACTCATGCCAGTGTCACCTGGAATCTGGGCACCTGGCCTCACCCTAGACCAGGAATCTGCACTGACCAATATCCAGGTGATTTCTCTGCCTCCATCCATCTGGGCACCACTGCCAAAGAGGAGTTCTCTGCCTGTTTGTCTTTACTCCCTACTTCTGTTACAATCACTGATTTGACTTCACATGATTTACCAGAGTATGGGGGTGAAGGCCAAGATCAGGGTGAGGGGATTCTAGGTGAAGGATTAAGTGGTAAAGGTTAATGATGTGTTGGGCTGGGATTTTGAACCTTAAAATATCCATCTGGTTGCAGTGTAAAGGGCTGAGGAAGAACAGGCCATGTGGGCTCAAATCTCAGTCAGCCACCCCACTGGAAGTAAAAACCCATCTCCCCTGTGTATAGCTGTGTGACTTGGGAAACTCTCATAGTTTCTTGTGCCTCAGTTTTACCATTTACATAATGGGGATAATAATAACAGTTCCTTTATAGGGAGGCTGTTGAGAAGACTAAAATAAACAGCCATCATCATCTTCACCATTATGAAACTGTTGAAGTCCAGAAGACTCATGGTCAGGTTCATTATAAGGAGACAAAACAGCTGGCAGGGAGATGAGCAAGATGGCTCCTGCCCCAAAGAATGAAAAAGCACTCCACGGAGGTCGTGAGGATTAACCCAAAGAAAGGCTCAGGAGCTCACGCAAATGTGGACCCAGTAGACCAGAATGTAGAGAGGCAGGCTAGGAGGAGGGCAGTCCACTTAAGCCCAAGTGTGGGGTCTCTTGATAAGTTATGTCATTATACAAGGGCACCTAGTCACTTCAGACCTTTGGCTCCAAGTCCATGATGGTGCGTTTGTTTGTCAATTTGAAGGGTATATCAAAGAACGAAGGTCTGAGCTGTCAGAGAATCCTAATGATTGAGCTCTATTTCAACTAGAAGTTGGAACATTCATACTGGCCTCCCAAAGCAAACGCTTGCTTGAGCAGACCACAAAATGCACCCATAGGACCTCAGGTGCCTCAGTACTCCTCAGCAAGTGTACAAAATTGAAAAGAAGAAATACTTGGGGAATTCAAGCTGTCCCTCCGAAACAAGATACCTCATCTGTACACAAAAGATTACATTTGGGGATGGGGGTTAAAATGGTGACAAAATTTTATCTGAGAGAAATGAGATGTAGCACAAAGGACCGCATGAGATCAGTGGCTGAAGGACAGATGCCCTTCCCCTAAATGAAATAGCAAGAAACCTAACAGATGTCAAGATAATCAGCGAACATTTCCTACTGCCTACTCTCTCAGAAGAAGCCACCAAGAAAGCTTGATCAAAAATCCATTCTGATCTTGCAAAACTTCAAAGAACTTTTTAAACCGTCATCTCTTTCATTCTCCACATGGAGCCCAAACCTGAAAATTCTGAGCCTCTGATCAGTCAATCCTAAAAAGGCCTGCAGGTCCACACTGACCTCAAGGGAATTTACAGAGTTTAAGAAATGGAAACCTTATTTGGGGGTTACATTCCACCTGCATCACTGCAGAGCAAAGATACTATGGATGATGTCATTTCTCAGCCTTTCTGTGTCTGCCCTGTTTCTCAACCTTCTGGGACACACTGAAGAAGGAATGTAAGTGTGATACGTCACTAATGGCTTGACCATTGGACTTGCTGAAGCGCTCTAGATTTTTCTTTTCTTGTTCTTTACTCATTTTTATCAGAATAGTCTTTGCTGAGATCCACATATTTTCAGGGGGACAGAGCAGTGAGTAGAGGGCAGGAAATCCTTCCAGTGAGCCCCATGCTGAGGTGGATCCCGTTCAGACTGTCTTATCAATGGTAAGATAAGGTATCTACTGGAAGATCCCTAGAAAGGGAAGATCCCTAGAAAGGCATCCTTATAAGACAGCTGGCCTCCAGAATCACAGTGAGAAAGGTCTGACTTCTGCAGAAGCCTCAGACCATGCATTCTTCCCTAGAAA